CAGTACAAAATTGCAGATCCTATTGGTCCACCTGCGTTGAGTCGGACCATTCACTAGTTCTGTTACGCTTCGCTCTTCGATTCATTGGTCATCGGCAGAAATCGCCTCCTCAANGATTGCTTTCTCTGTGTGTTGACCATAGTGATTCATCTTCTCCCTCCTTCAAAATAGATCGAATCCCCGTCCGCGTTAAATTTTCCCACAAACATTCTATGCATTGCGAGTTTGGCAGCGGTCAGTGAAGTTCGCTTCACTGTATTTCGCTGTACGATGATGATGATGAGTCAGGCCTTAGGACGTCATAAATTGGGAGCTTGATTACGCTGGAGGTGGTGTTGGGAAAGAGGCCATACCACAAATCGCGAAATCTAAAGCAGCTTTTGCCACTCTACGACACTTGACTTTTCTATACCCATTCCTACCAGGGTTATCATTGCTGTTCCCTTGGCAGCATGCCTCTTCTCAAAACGGAATAAAATCTATCCACTCGTCCACCCTACGCTTTGTGTATGCAGCGATCAGTGAAGTCCGTGTTGCCGTATTTTCATGTCAGACGATAATATTCCAACCAATCGTTTGGTTATTAACAAGTTACAAAGTTTCGCATTTGACTCACAGTTACTTGTGAGTAGTGGTGTGGGATAGTCGATTTTTATTCATTTGAGCTGAATATCCTTCGGACTTCACGCATAATCCTCAGTTCATCCATTCAACCATACATTCGGAGGCACTAGACTCGAGTTTCGCTCTTATTAGAGCTCATCGGTAGTGCATATCCAGCGTCCCGTCCGGGATTTTAAATTCGTACCCATCACATGGAAAGCTTGTGCGGTACCACTGTGCCAACAGTTTCATACCATGGATGAAACAAATTGTTAACTCATGTTTGTTCAGGTGTCGTCTTCGGTGATAGTTAGTTCATTTGGTCCGATAGCAAGGATGGGAGACACAGATGACAATCTTCCAACTCCAGTCGATTGAGGTTAACATTATTAAGGTAAGTTTGATGTCGCTCCGTAGGTCGTCGCATACCGGTCAGTGAGACCATTTGCGATAAAAGTGGACAAAACATCCACAATAAACAACAACGACTTGATCGCTGGGCAGAGTATTTTAGTGAACAGTTCAATTGGCCTAGTGCTAATGTGGTCATTCCAGCAATTGCGG